CTGGGAATGTGGAGAGGTTTTGGTGGAGGTATCCAAGAGTAATAGAGCAATTAATGCAGGAGTGGTATGCAGTGGAAAAAATAATAGTGAAAAAAACAACAAAATGAAGACAGCTCTTTATCATTAAAAAAATACCCATTTGTAGCACAGTTGCTATGTATTAAAAAAACCAAAAAAGCACAACTACACTGGAGAGAAGCAACAGCTCATTTTTTTCCAGCATTACCTTTATCAAAGTTTTTTCTTTGTTGAGGTTTTGGTTTTTTATTTTTACTGTGGCCACACAAAAGTGAGTACTGTAGAATCAGAAGAGTACAGAAGTCAGTAAATTCAGCTTGAGATGCCTTGTATTGACCCTCTCCCAATTAATGACACACACCCTGGCAAGCAAGGGCATAAAGATGTTAAAGAGATGTCTGCAGGCTGGGAGAGGGTCTGTGAGGTGGGTTTGGATTATCCACTTGGCCAGTGTCTTCACTGGGAGTTCTGTGCATTGTGGCTATAGAGGGTGGTTTTTCCACTGTGCAGTGCTGCTGCAAGAGCCTTTTATGGCTGTTTCAGTGAGGAAAAGTATGTGAATATCCTTCATCACTTGCCCCTTTTTATGGTCCTTGGCATATTTCCCCTTGGACTAAATTGGGTGAAAATGTTGTTGGTTCTGCGTTGCTGTTCAACATACCACAGTTTCCAAATGTTTCCTACCATCAAAATGAATTAGTGGAGGACACTGCTCATTCAGGCTCTTGTTCTGCTTATTTTTGGAAATGTTTTCCTTCCTGTTTCATTCCCTTAATTGTTGTTCAGCTTTGACATCTAAAAAGCTGAAGAGACATCTGTAAAATGGTGAGCAGCTAGAGTTAAATGTGGGCTGTGTTGCAGTCACATAATGGAAAAAAAAAATCTATGAAAATTAGAACTTGGAATAAAAAATACACCATGCAGCTGTATTGGAAAGCTCATTTGGGGGAGCTTAAATACTGAATACTTCAACTCTCACATGCTTAAACTGGGTTTAGTCAAACTCCAGCTGGTGGAGAGTCCACAGATGGAAACATTTTGCTGGGACTTTGTGCTGCTCTCAAAACACTTCCCCTCAGCGTGCAAGAGCTGGAGCATCCACTTTGCTGCCTCACACTGCCCTGTGTTTGTGTTTATGCTTGTCAGGACTTGCTATTTTATTTTATTGATTATGGGCATTGCATTTAGCTAAAATGTAGGTAGTAAATCTTTGTAGCAAAAAAAAACCTGGGAGCAGTTTGCACAGAACAGACTCCAGCTGTTCGGTCTCACCGTGTGTCCTTCCTTGCTTGGGAGCCTTGGCCTGCAGGACCTCAGGGAAGCACTGCCTGGCTGAGGACATCCTGCACCTTTGTGAGGAGAGACACGTCAGAGCAAAGCAGTGCTGGAAATAAACACTGAAAGAGTAAAAACTCCAAGGAAAATGTACCGAGGTGAGAGCCTTCGGTGGCTCAGCAGGTAACAGCTGGTGCTGCCATCCTAAGTACAGGGGATCTTGGCAGGGAAGCTGCCAAACCCCTAGAGACCCCTCTAGGCTTTCATTCCCTCCCACCTTCTTAGGAGGGTGGGATTGATTTGATCAGCCCAAGCTGTGCTGCAGGCTTGGGTTCTGCCCCATGGGGTCTGCCCAGTAAGAGGAGGTTGGCTTTGTCACTTGGCTTGTTTAAGAGGGATTGCTTCCACTCCCTGCTCCGTGGTGAGGTGAGGAGTGACAATAATCCCTACAGCCTGTGTCAGCAAGAGGAGAGTTCAGAAGGGTGCTGGGTTTGGTGCCAGCAGTGGGAGCTGACAAATGGGATGTTTCCCAGTTACCAAACTAACTTGGAAGGAAATGTGCTTTGAGCCTGCCTGCAGCTGAATGTCAGTGCTGGTGTGGGTCCCTGCAGGACCTGAACTCTCTGAGCTCCCCTTCTCCTGCAGCTCCTGGTGAGTGGGCTGGAGGTTTGGGGGCAGCTGTGCCCACCACAGTGGGCAGCTGATCCCACTGAACAGGGAAAAAGCAGGAACTGTTTGGCTCCAATACCTGTCCTGGGGCTGAAAGGAAAACAGCAGCTCCCAATCTTAGGGGGAGCAGGAGAGGGAAATATCCCTGGCTAGTCTGTTACTTGAATTAATTATGCTCTCACATTGCATAACCTGGCCCCACATGCCAGGCCACAGGAATGTGTTTTTGTGTGCTGCTCCTATGCAGTTCCTGGTCCTGGATAATCACAGCCAGAGGCTCAGGGATGGGCTCTGTCACAGCTCCTCTCAGTGGCAGCACACCCAGCACAGGCAGAGAGGTGAGAAATCACTGCCAGCACAGCAAAACTGTCTGCAACCCGTGTGAAGAATCCACACAAGTCTGTGAATACCAGGGATAATCTCTATTCAAGGAGCTTTCTTAGCTCTTTATTTGATTGCTTAGGAAAAATGTGTTGTCAGGTTGGGAACAACACATTCCTGGTTTGCATATTATTAAGGCTTAATAGATGGACTGGATAACGTTTAAAGATCCCTTCCACCCCAAACTATTCTATTAATTCCTGTCCCATGGCCTAGCATCTCCATGAGCTGGCCCAGAAAACAGAATGCCAGAAATGCCTGCACATTTTCCCAGGCAGCTGGGACTGCAGAAATGCAAGTGGTATTAGCAGTGGTGAGCACCTCTGTGGTACTTTCCCAGCTGCAGGTGTACCTAGAGCTGAATTTGCCTACATCTGAGGAGCTGCTTGTCTGGGATCTTTGCTTTAGGTCCATTCCTGGAATATCATCAGGGAGCTTCTTTTGAGGACCTTTTTCTACCATGGTTGGTTGATGCTTATTTATGGTCTGCCTACCATAGCAAGAAGTAAAATGGAATAAATCAGCAGCAGATGTTAGTCTGGTGATTTTTTTTAATGACAATCAAGATTCAAAAAAAAATCTGGCTTTTAGCTAAAAGTGAACATTATCATTTCCCATGTCTACCATGTGGGACATGGCTGGGGATTCAAGATCGCAGCTTGTGTAATCCTGACAGAGTTTTTGATAGCTCCCTTCTCTGCTGAATAATATGGCCAGATTCAAAGCATCTGCTCAGTGTCACAGTCACTTTCAGGGATTAATTTGCAATTCTGAGCTTGGCCAGACTTTAATAAGTGTTGGTCTGCAGCCTCATTCTGGCCAGTGCTGTTCCTTGTGTGAGCACTGAGGCTCCTTGCTCACGTCCTGTGCACAACAAAAAGCCCTTGGCAGTGCTGAGGGCTGCTGTGATCACCAGGCAGGTTATTATGTTGGCCAGTGCCAAGTTTCAGGTGATTTAGTCCGAGTGCTTTTGAGCTGTTGCAGCTTTTGAAAAGGCCACCTTCACTTAGCCTAGCTGGAAGCACACTTGCCATCTCATAGCTGGAAAAAATCGACTGGCATTGACATTTAATAAAACTCGTATAGAAACTGTTCCCTCTGAGGGTGGCTGGCTCCAGCAGTGTCACAGTAGATGGATGAGCAGTTATTTTCTCTGCTATTGTCACGTACCACACAGTCTCCTTGATGCCAGCTGCTTTATCACCATTTCTGAGAATCACTTTTTTCCTGGACTTTTTCAAGTATCACGAGTATTTCTGTTATTTTCTTGTACTTACCTGCTAATGCTAGCAATGCTTTGAAGCACCTGTGGTAACTGAAAACTCTCTGCCATTGGCTTAAATTGATCTGATAAGAGCATGATTAACTTGTGTAACCACATCTCCTTTTCTGTACTCAGAAACATCCTTAGAGCATTCCAGAGTTCCAGAAGGAAGTGTGAAACTTCATTAACTGAGTGTTTAACCTCCCTACGTGCATGAGCACATCTGTGCTCCCGTTTGCACTCAGCCTTTTAACAGAGCTCTCATGTTTGAGCTGGGTGTTGGTTTGAGTGTCCTGCATACTTTCAGTGGTTTAGGACTTTGGTGTGGCAAAGGTTATATCAGTTCAGCCATGCCCCTTCTCCTCAGTTTTCTGCAGCATGGGCTACAAACAGGCTCCTGGACTGCATGGCCCTGGGGAGCAGCACTTCTGGTAGTTCTCAAGTGTCATTCTCAAAACTAGCAATGGGACTGGAGTGGGAATAAAGCCTTCAGGGGGGTGGAAAAGGGTAAACAGTATCAAGAAATCTAACAAACTGAACTAATATTGCTGGGTTCAGGCCCTGGCTCTGTGATTCTGAGGCTGAGGATGCCTGACAAACCCTGTTAATCAGTGAGGAAATACCAGTTCCACAGCTCCCTTCGTGGAACTGGTGTGAGAGAAGAAACAGGAAAAGCAAAGTGTAAGACATTAAGTCTTGTGCAGGAAGACAGAGTCTTGGGGTGGCATTTGATATTTAAAATTCCACCTATGCTGAGTACAGTGAGCACTCCTACACTTCCCAGTCCTTCTGGAGTCTTCTGAATGCTCCTCTGAAGTAGCTCCTTTGTCACCTTAGAGCTGAGTGACATCATCCTGTGACAGCAAGGCACAGGCAGCATCAGCACTGACAGCAGCACTTTGCATACAAACACAAACTTAATTGATCCAAAACATGTGAAAACAAACGATAGCAGCAGGGCAGATTTCATTTTGCCCTAAGGAGTCCTGTATCAAGGCATGTTCTCTTCCCAATACAGGGAAACCACTGTGGGGGTCTCTTCCAACACCTACCAGTGGGAGTTGGCTTTTACTAGAGATCCTTGAGGACCTGGTCAAGTCACAGATGATGGGAAATACAATTTTAACATCACACCTTTAAAAAAAAGTGTCTCTACTGTACATCCCTCACTGATCAGCCCAATTGTACATCTACTCTCATATCTGTATCTGCATCTGTCTATTGTTATGTACTAGGATGGGCATTTCTAACTACTGACCTACTTACCATGGTCTTGTTTCAAGCTCTGCAGTGGTCTGCCCTATTTTTTATTCACCTGTGATAAATAGAAGCAAAATACTGATTCTCTGTTGTGAAAACCAACCTGGAAAACATAAAATAAAGAGAAAATGGCTATAGCCAGAGAATCCAGTTTAATAGGCTGCTATACAGGAAGACTTTGTTCTATGATACATTCTGGAAATAGTTTTCAAATGTTACTTACAGATACTGTATAAAATAGATACCAGTTTTATTGATTATACATCAAGATTCTTTGACCATTTAACCTGCTATTAAGTAATATATAAGATGTGTGGTGGAAAGTGAGCAACACTTTACAGGACAATCTAAATCTAATAAATAGATCTGTATCTCACCACGAGATTGAGCCACTGCTGTGCCGTTGTCAGACTACAGAGCAACCACAACGTCACACACGCTGCATATGGTAAAATAGGAGATGAAAATCCCATTCCTTGAGCAGCTCCTCTTCCCTGCATGACTCTTTTGGCTTTGGTCTGTACAATAATACTGTGTGTGCTTGTTTGGTCCATGCAAAGCTATGAACAGTGTCTCATTAAGAAAAAATAGACTTTAAATCGAAGAGGTATCGTTTCAGTTAATTTGGGGTTAAAATGCAGTATCTCTCTGATCACAGAAAGGGCTGTACCTGCTCTTTCTGGGTGTCTATTTCAACAACAGGGTGGAAATAGCTACTTAAGTGTTTTAAGCAACACAGCTCTTGGTGTCCAGACTCTATGTAAGATAATCTTAGTTGAAGAGGTTAGCAAGGATTGTTCTCCTGTTACAGCATGTGTTTGGGAAAATACAGGCCAGGGGAAAAAAAAAATCCAAAACTCAAATCTGAAACTGGCACTTCTTTACCCACAGGCTTACCACACCATTGAAAACACTTTCACTCTGGAATATACAACATGGCAGCTGGGTTCAAACTGCAAACTGCATGTTTTCTATTGTCACAGGAATCAATAGCATACTGGAAATAAATAAGGAAAAAAAAAACCAAACCAAAACGCTGCTGTTTGGCTGAATCGCAAGCAGTGTGCACAATATGCCAGATTTACAGAGAGATTTTCCCACTCAAACAAACTTCAACAGAAACAGACCACGGGGAAACAAACTGCATATTCAGGAAAATACCATTGGCACCACTTGCCAAGACGTAGGACGCTGTGGTTTTACAGTCCTTGCAGGGAGAGGGCGGCACCTTCACTCGAACATCTCGTAGTGGCGCGTTTGCCTCACCCTGGGCACCATATCGATGAGCAGCCTGCAGGGAGAGCACAAAGGATCATGCACAGGCACAGGACAGCCCCAGAACTGAATATACAAACATAAAAAAGAGCTCAGGTGGCGTAACAGCCTTTGCAGTTTCCCAGAACGGTTGGTTTTACAGTGGAAATTGTGATTATACCGAACTATTTAAGAGTGCTACTCCCCATTAAAATGTTAATTGAATTTTCCAAGTTGAAAAAATAAAACAAAATAACCAACCAAACCCACACAGCTTCCAGCTGAGGGCTGAGTGCAGCCTGGCCAAGGGCTGCTTCACAACAGGCAGAATTCCAACTAGGATGCTCCATCTCCCTTTCTCTTGTGGCAGATAAGCCATAAGGGATAAAGTGCAAAATTCGGGCTAGATTCCATACAGTCAAGGGAAATTGTGGCAGCAATGAATTGCATGGCAGAGCTTCATTTGATTTTTTATTCTGTTTCTGGTGTGAATCAAGAGAGCATCTTAAAATTCAAAAGAAACAGCATCTAAGAGATGAGAGGAACTTCAGAAGTTGCCGAAGGTAGCGCTGGGGCAGAAATCAATAGCACGATCCTTCTTTAAACTTGGGCACCTTTCCTTAAACCCAGCCTTCCTTTAGCAAAGCAGTGCTCAGAAATGTGGCATAAATGCAAGGAGGACTGACTTTATCCATCATTTTTTGTTATTTTTCAGATATTGTATTTCAGGTAAACAAAAATCTAAAATTGTTCCAATTTCTTTTTAAGACCCAGTTGCTTTCCAGCTGGTGTGGGGACAGCGCTTTCCACACAGCCTGCTCCAGTATTGGCTGCTAGTCTAATAAACTCCAGGGACTGATTTCACTGGAATTACCTAAACTCTTAAAGACTGTGACCTCCGAGCTCCCAGGGCCCTGCCTGCTCCCAGGAGATACTCACTTGATTCCATAGGCAGATATTGTAAGTCCAATTAACACTCCTATACTGCCATCCAGGTACCAGACAGAAGAATTGTGTTTAAACACTTCTGCACTAAGAAGGATGGAAAATCCCATTATTCCACCTACAAGAGAGTTGAAACCTAGAAGGGGGGGGGAAAAAATAATTAAAAGATGAACCACAGGAACTCATGGAAAGGAAAATGACTTTGCATAGTAACCTGTCAAAAACCCTCTCTTGGAGTTTTTATCCCATTCCAGGTATTTATTTATGTGCTTGGCACTGTTACTTAGAGTTGTAGACATTGCTGAAGACATACAGGATAATTCTATTTTCCATTTATGCTTTAGACAGAAAACATCTTCTTATCTACTATTTACAATTTTAATGAACATCCTTTTGGATTCCTTTTTTTTTTTTTAACCCTTTCTCCTTTTCTCCAAGACTGCCCCTTCAAAATTCTCACAGAGCTTTTGGAAAAATTAATGCCCTTTTTCATTCAACTCCTGTTTGATTAATTATTGATTTGGGCTTTCTTAAGTCATTCCTTTTGTTGTGTTTTTTAATTTCAAATTCCCTTTTTCTGATTTTTTCTGCAATAATCCAAAAGATACCCCTGTTGCTCTACACAGAAAAAGTCACTGAGCATGCATTAATTTGGTAGATCCATACACTATTTAACATAGATAACAAATGAAATATCAAACTTGAAATATTCTATACTGCTTGGTGAGTCAGCTCTAGCTAGATGCTGTTTACAGAATTTTTGCCAGGTTTTGCAATTCCCCATGACTGCCAAAAATGATACACCTGACACTTGTTCCTGAGTGCCTCCTTTGATCCACACCTCTCACATACAGTCTTTGTCTACTTATCCATTTATACTGCTAACACATGCTGAAATTGTGTATATTGTGTCTATAGATATATAAAATATAAATTAATAATTAGAAATTTAAACTAATTTACTTCCTCTGCTCCAGCTTAATTCAGAATTCATCAGCACAACTTGCAAAAGAATAAAATATTTTCATGCCATTATTGGCTGATGGTTCCAAATGATTTAAAAGCTACTTGCAAAGGAAATTTTTTTTTCCCTTCCTGACTCTCATTCAGCCAAACCTTTCTTTGCTGATGTGGCAGGAAATCATGTAATGGAAATCATGCAGGTATTAATCCAGACACTGTAAAGTGTGAGGCCAGCAGAGGAAAAAACAGGTGGCTAAATCTGGGCAGGAAACAGGTACCTAAAACCTACAGGAAAGTTGGCTGACATCACTGACTGTCACAGAGCTGTCCTCTGAAATGTCACAAAATTCAAGGCAGGAAATGGCTATTTTTATTATCCAAAAGGCCAAGAGCTCTTGCTATAAACAAACTGTACAAATGACATTTTGGATTCATACATCTAGGCTCTAAATAAAGTGATATTGCTGTTAAGCCCTACTCTAAAACAAAAATATTTTAAAAATAATTGTTAATAGAGGTCGACATGCATAAAAGAGAATTTTCTGTTCTGAAAATAAACCTATTTTTTAGGAAGAAAAATTCATGCTCCTTTTACTCAAAACAGTTTGTTGGTCTGGAGCCAGGGATCACAGGAGGTAAATTAGCAGGAAACAGAAAACACTAAAAAAAGATATGCAAGGGACTGCTAAATCTGTCTCAGCTGCTGAATCACATTGTCTCTTCCTGATTGTTAATAAATCAAGTACATATGTAAATATATCTTGTGAAAGCAGATATTTAACCACACATGTTCAGATCAGCCTCCTACATTTTCTAAAGTAGTTCTAAAGGAGAGAAGAGAGATAAAAACCAGGCTGAGGTAATTGTATACTTTTTTCCCTAATTTTTTTAATCAAAGAATGAGCAGTCTCCAGCTCAGAAGCAGTATCATTAGCATGAGGATGTAATTATGGGGAAAGAGATTTCTCTGTCATACAGGAGAACAATTCAGAGCCAGAGTTATTTTGGAATTTTCAGTTAATATTTTGGCTGAGTAAACTGCTCTGTTTCAAAACTAAGCTGCATTTCTTTAGAGGGAGGGTTCATCGTTTGCCTGCCTGGGCACAGCTCTGAAATGGTCAGCGTGTCCCACTTCCACCCTGGCACTGAGGGAAGTCAGACTCACTGGGCTGCAGTTCCCAGCATCCTTTCCAGAATCCTCTCTGCAGTTTGGAGGTATTTTTGTTTTAAAATGTCTGGAGTGGCAGAGCCCATTGAAAGAGTAAGATCTCTGAGCTGGAGGCCTGCTGGGAGAGAATCCCAAATGCAGGGAGGCAATGGCTTAGTTGTAACTCACTGCTATTCTGGTACCTTTTTTGCTTCTTTCAGATTTAAAATATAAATACTCATGAAGAATTCATATAAGTGGGATGATAGAGATACTCATAACATGTGTTATCACACATCAACAAGAAAAATTTTAAGTATGTTTAATTTGCTTAAAATAAAGCAAATTTTACGTATCTCTAGAGTAAGCTGAAAATTGAATTTCCTTAAATGAAATCTAAGGAAAGAGCAAAATAATTTAGGTAGCACAACCCATGAATCATGAACATCCTAAAGTGTCTACTGAGTATTTCAAACTGCCTTGGCAGATAAAATCTCTTGAAGAGATTTGTAGGGGGCTGTGAAATTTCTGCCACCACTGTGGCCTCACCCATTTGAAGGGCACATCCCTGGGATTTCTCAGGATTCAGAAGCTTGAGCCCTGTCAGAAAGAGGAATATCTGGACCTACTTTCAAGGCATGATTATAAACCTACCTCTAAAACCAAAACCAGGTGCTCCACACCTGGGCCAGTGCAGTGGTGGCAGTGAGGTGTTCCAGGGGTGCAGGGGAGGAGGATCCAGACCCCAGCAGGGCCAGAGGGGAGCAGAGCAGGGAAGGGTTGTGTTTCACACCTGCTGTGCTCCAGCAGCTCTGCTGGGTGGCAGGGAAAGTGCTGTGGTGACAGTGACACCAAAGGGGTTCCTGGAGATGCTGGGGATGATCCCTGCTCCAGGCAGGTGATGTTTCTGCAGCAGACTTTGCTTCATCTGAGCTTCCAGGATTTTACCAGGCACAGGCAGTGAGGATGGAGGTGAATTAACCAAAGCTCTCTGAACTGGTGTCATATCCCCCTGCTACAGCCTAACCTCTGACTAATACACCTCTAATCCATTCTGCTCTACCTCTAACTCTCTATTATTGCTTACTATCCACTCATTCACTGCTTGGCTTCCACCAGACACCCCCATTTCAGCTGAGCTATCTGTGCTAGAGGCCAGTGGTACCACAGACTGTTCTAGGTTTAGGGTTTCTCAGTTTCTCAGCCTTATTTCAATGCTCTTTCACAGCTGTCATCGTGCAGGGTCCCTGGAAGAGTCTATGAAAGCAGCAGGATCAATGTCACACTTACCATCAGTTATCAGTGCTCTGCTTGTAAGGACCTTTCCCAGCATAAATTTGATTACTGCCAAGACAGTGCAGAGGATTCCACTTAGAACAGAGACACTGTACAGAAAATCATCCTGGAGAAAAAAAAAAAAAGAATAAAAAAGATTACATTAGTATGTCTTCTGGTCATGTCCCACCTATTAAATGACAAGTTGTACTAATTACTGTGCAATTATTTATGCTACTGAGAAACACAACCTGAGATCAAGATTTCCTACCTTATGACTTCCACAGCAGCTGGTGTTTATTTTGCTTGTATTGTCACCTGCAATTGCTTTTGCAGCCATAATTAATGGCAGTTCCAATCAACAAATTGTGAATTGACCCAGCCTGCTCAGAGTCAGGAGGTTGAATTTACCTGTGGGGCTGAATGCAGACTGCCAGGTCATCCAATGCCTAATGTCAGCAGTAATGAAGTCCCCACAGGCAGGAGAAAGGCTTGAAAATAGAATCCCTCTTACCAGACCAATATTGATTCATAGTGTAAGAAATAACCATTTAATATTGTTTCCAATCCTGGGCTTGCTTTGGTTTTGTTTCGTCTCCTTTTCCAAAAGTCTGGTTCAAGCTACATCCATAAAACTTCTGATGCTGATGTGCAAAGGAAAGTTTAGATCTTTCACAGAACACAAATTTTTTCATGGATTTCCATTTCACAGAAACAATCCTATTTCTTGATTTGCACGTGAAACATGGGCTCCCCAGTTCCCTCAGGAGAGAGCTGTGTGCCAGTGCAGGGCAAAGAAGGGTAAGTTATTATTGTTTAATACTCATTCTCTAAAGGTGATCAGGAGTCCCCCAGCCCTCCCTGGTGACTGGCTTGTGTTTGGTTGGGCTGGGAGGATGCTCCTGTGTGCTGACCTGCTGCAATAAGGTGCCCAAAGGGAGTCCTTGTGCCTTCCTCCCCCTGAGGAACATCAGAAAAACCCAGGGCTCTCAGCCTGCCTGCCACCTGACCACACACTTTGGGTTAGATTCACTGCTCACTCTTCATAGAAGCTTTAACTGAAGCTGTTGCAACACCAGTACAAGTAAGGGAAATAGCAAGAATTCTTTGTTTTTAATTTGTATCTGCAGGTCTAAGTGGGCCAGTGCCACTGGGACCCTGTTCCTGATTAAAATACTCTGGCAAAAGTCCCTGTTGGTACCAAACGTTGTCATGATGATTCATCCGCAGCTCCATCCATTTTCATTATTTTAGCAGCAATTTGAAACCCAAAGAAATCAAAAAATGGTTTTGAAAGCTGCTTAGGAAGATACAGGGAATTAGATTACTGGTATAATGTACTCATATCCCTAAATAAATCTTTCAATATTTTGATACAATTTTGTATTTTGTATAATTTTGAAAGTCTACTTCACTCACACTCAATCATGAGCTCATTCTCTCTAGACCTGGTAAAATATTAACAATGATTAAGACAATTATTAACAATATTAAGACAAAATGCACTGAGGGAAAAAGAGTAAAAAAGGAGCAATGAGAACACAGAAATCAAGTACTGGGTAAAGGTAGGATAAAAACCATTTGTAAAGTTATTTTAACAAAACAACTGGAAAATAACCAGGGAATTTCCAGTGCTAGGGAAGGACTAAGGAAATAGAGGCAATATTTGGTTGCTGTCAATCTAACAAGGAAAGCTGGGAGATCTCAGAAGGTCTGAAATGAAAACAAAGCTTCAAAAGTCTCGACAAGGTTTGCAAAAAACACTCAAAATTTGAGTTCCTTGTCGAAACTGTGTCTCTAATTTTTATGCATCTTTCTCAAAAAGGTGTATTTTCAGTGCCCAAAGACTTAATTTTGATAGCCCAACAAGTTCTGATTGGTTAATCTAACATAATCTCATCTAATATTTCACCTAATATTTAATATACAGAATAAGGCTTCAGAATAATCTGAATCCTGTGCTCCACTAGCATTTCTCCTGTGTCTCACTTGGCACAAGGACTCATTTTCAATGGCTACATGAGATCCCTCATTTCCCCATCACCCCACAGACCCTCCAAAGGCTTTCTGATTCCTCCCAGGCATCCCTACCCCTTATCTTTGCCTTCCCCCTCAGCACAGGCTTTGTCACAGCACAGAGCTGATCACTGCAGGTCCAGCAGAGGTGACAGCATAAATCACTTTGCTATTGACAGCTGTGTCACTGTCTGCCTTGGGATGATGAAATGCAATTTTCCTACGCCTGTGAAATCCTTGGGAGTGCACTGGAAAACCATTACAAATTGACAGAGTTTGGAAAAAAAAATCTGTGGATCACAATACAAGATATTTTGAAAATTATTTGAATGATGTTCAAAATTCCAGGTATTGATTCAGAATCCCAAAAATGCTGTGCCTTATTCCCTGTGCTGTCATATCAGGTTTTGTCCTCTTCTTGGCACTACATTTGGAGCTTTTTCTTTGGTTCTTTTTCTTGTTGTGGCATGCCATAAATTTTGGGGATGAATTCGGGGGTTTTCCTGCAAGTGCCACTAAAATCACAGTATGTGGAAATGCATCTTGCTATTTGTTCTGCTATACAGTCATGATCCAAATGAGTCTAGCTACTCTGCTGGAATCCAAGAATGACCTAAATGTGATTTATGAATGAAGTCATGAACTGCTGAACAGGCTTTTTATAGAGGACACACATTCAGGATCTAGAAATCGTTCCTAAGGTTGCCAGGTTTTGGTTTTTGACACCGAATCACACAGGACAAGCTCATTTTGCTGCCAACACCCATCCGATCACCGCTGATAGAGCAGAAGACGCGGCTAATCGAAGCTCCTTTGTTATCACTGTGAACGCAAGAGAGGGAAGAAATTAAAAATTAAAAAGAAATTAAAATGCAGAGCCTTTAGGCTGTGCCCAAGAGGCTTTCTGGAGGCGATATTGCGGGTTTTCTGGGAACAATCGCTATAAAAGCAGGCGCTCCCGTGGTGCGCAGCTCCCGGCCGGAGCCACCGGGAGGCGGCAGATCCCGCACGAACCGAGAGCGCCTCTCAGGACCAACCCAAGAGGGAAAACATCTTTCAAACTCTCCCTTTCCAGTAGCTCCCTGTGCTTCCTGGGTAGCCCAGAGCTGGAAGAAGAAGAGTGAGGCTATTTGCTTTTACCAAGAGGGTTTTGCAGGTGGAACAGGTCAGCCCAAAGAGGCGATGCCCAGCAGCACGGACAGCCTGGCTGCTCCCTGAGCAGGTGAGGATGGAAGAGAAAACAGCTCAGAACATTTCCTTGGCACGGTTTTGCTGCCAAGAAGCTGGGGCTGGTTCAGGGCAGCAGGATTCAATGGATGAGCAGAGTGAAGGCTTGCTGGGCTGGAGCAGAGGTGTCCAGCCCTGGGACACACGAGTGACAAACGCGCCCTGCTGCAGAGCTGCGGGATGCAGAGAGTTAAACACCTCGCCCCGTGGCTGTGAAATGATTCCCATTAAACTAACTCATCCTTCGGAGAGAAGAAGAAAAGAAAAGCCGTAATGGAGATCTAAATTAATAAAATAAGCCGGGCCATCTGGCACCATCTCCCTCCGGATCTTCCCGCAGCCCTGCCCTCTCCGCACCCCTTGCCTTCCCATCTGACGGTCATTAGGAGCATCTAGCCAGGCTCACCCTACGACTCCTCGGTGCTGTTTTAATTAAAGCAGCAGCAAATTGTGGCAGATGATAAAAATTTAAATTCTGATCATTTCCATACGATAAATGCTTCCCAGCGTGGTAAATAAAGCGCCTTCCTTTTCCATTTCTTTTCATCATATTCCCTCACTGCTACTGCACTGTACATGAGACCTTAATTAAAGGACACCTATATCTGATTAGATGGCTTCATGTATAGACCAGCACTGTACATAAAGCAAGGTGCCCATCCTGTGTTGCCTTCTCATTACACAGCACTTTAATAGCTACAATGTCCCTATTTAAAATATATTTTATGCCTGGCTTTATAGTGTGGTTTTATGCTTTCTTTTCCAGAACAAAGCTTTCCTAGGAATAAAATATTTTTCTCTCTTACCATTCCTAAGAAAGGAATAATAGAAGTCAGCAGGCAGCTTTCTTTCACTTTATCCAAATGCATTGTCCCCAGCTGTGCAGCTGAGAAGAGGGGGTTGCAAAACTGTCACAACAGTTCTGTCCCTGCTTTCAAGGATTTCACCAAAAGCAGCAGTAATCTTCTGGCTTAAAAAAAAGTTTATTGGTTTTCGTGTTGCAACTTTGATCTCTTCCTGAATCTATTGTAGAAAGTAAAAAAAATAAAAAATCTCACAACAGATTTTTCAGTTCTTGGGTTATTAGGTAGAAATATTTTAACCCAATTCCCAGCCTAGTAACTAACTTGCAGCTGATTTGTGTTCCCAATCTTTCCCTAGAATGCATATTGCTAATTCTGACCTAAAGACTTTGCCTTCATATATTGTTTCTACCAGCTCCTCTCTGCCCACTGTCCGCTTCTGAGATGTAAAAATGTTCTCATTTCACAGTGTGGAGTCAAAAGATATTCACTGGTATGGGAGGAAGCTCATTCCTTCCTTGGTCACTCGTTCTGCAATCCCAGAACAAGCTGCTTCTCCCACCAACAGCTGCAGGCTTCCTTCCACTCCTCTGCCCCCTCCTTGGCTGCCTCTGTGAACCAGCCAAAAGTTCCTCACATTCCTGTAGGAGCTGGGAATTACTGGGACTGTCTTTTTCATGCCATTTTTTCCCTTTCCAGAGAACCTGGTGTCTCACAGTGTTCTGCCACTCTGCTGAGCCTGGCTCCTCTTGGCTGAGGAGGTAGGGATGTGTTTCTGGAATGCTACAGATGGTGTTGGCAGGAGTAAAGTCATGGCTGGCCCAAACTGAGCTGAGTTTGTGTTGTTAAATATTAATTTTGCCCATCTCTGCAACTCACCATCTGTCTCCTGGATCCCAGCAATGACCCTTCTTCAGCCCAGGTAATTGGTGACCATCCTGCCAGGTTCTGCTCCCACCCTGCTCCCCATCCCCACCTTCCCACACTTCCCACAGCCTCCTGCTCCTCCAGCTCCCCCAGCAGCTGCCAAGTCATCTGGGCACACAGGGATCACTACAAGCCCCTCTGCAGAGCATGTTAC